ATGTGTGAGCTACAAACAGGCAGCTAACAGGAGAGCTTCAGAGTGCGTTTGGCCAGGGAGTGTGAGGGACTGTACGTAAAAGGAAAGCCCGACTCTTGATTATGTGATGACCTTCAATGGAACAGCTGTGACCTGCACCAGATATGCCATGTTTTCTTTCCTGCCCAAAGTCAGAAGGAACTTTGTGTATGACCTGGAAGTTGGTGGCTGTGTTGGAAGAATGGTCTCTTGGATTGGAAGGGCAAGTGCAGACGTTACACGGCATCAGAGAGACTGAAAAGTTCCATTGCTGATGCAGATTTAGTGAAGAAAGGAGCTGGCCACCAAGGAATCTGAGGAGGCTTTGGCAATTCATAACCGCGGAATGCAGACGATGAGGCAGACAAAGACAGGCAGGCTTTGACCATCGGAATGATGATGACCAGGATGAATTCCACAAAGCTAGAGGTTTCCAAATTATACCAGAACTCTGTGTGGAAACTGCTGAAAATATCTCTGAAGCTCCACCTGGTCAAATTCAACAGAGAGGTGTATGGGACATACCCATGGATGGCTGCTCAGCCCAACTTGCAAGAAAAATCTAGCATGCTGACAAAGGTGTTCAACTGTCCAAGGAAGACAGACAAGCCTTGCTGGGGATTCCATCCTAAGAAGAATGAATAGAACGTTCTGCAAGGGACAGATGATGACAGGATGGTGTGCCGTTTTCCTGGAGCCGAGACGCCAGACATCACTTTCGATTAGATAGGCTTTTAAAGTCGATGGGGATGAATCCTCTGGTGATGGTGCACGTCAGTACTAATGACACTGCATTGTAGGATATCTCATAGATTATGAATGACTTCAGGGAACTCAGAAGGGTGCTGAAGGAGAAAAATGTCCAAGTGATCCTGGTGATCCTTCCTGTTCCATGAGTGAAGGAAGACTGAAGATGCTGGAAGTGAACTGCTAGCTAGGTAAGTGGTGGAATGTAGATAAATTTCGTTTTGTGGAATATTGGTCCACCTTTGGGGAGAGGGGACTGTACAGTTTGGATTTGAATGGCCTCCATCTCAGTAGAAGGGGAGCCAGAGTAGTCAGGCATGTGTTGTTAAACTAAACAAAAGGGAAAGGTGAAAAGAAGGGCCAAATGAGCACTCATTCAGCACAAAATTATGATGAGAACAAAATTAATCAAGAAACCAAAGTATGTGAAGAGAGCAATTTATTTAATTGCTCATACAGCAATGCTGGGTGTCTGAGTAACAAACAAGGAATTAGAATTGCTCATTTATTAGCAAAAATTCAACATGGTTTATATTTGGTGGGATGATTTGTGTGATTGAAATGTTCAAATCAATGGTTATAACTTATTAGGAGGGACTGAGTGAGGAAAAAGGGGAGTGGGAGTAGCAATCTATCAAATTACATTACCTATTTCAGAGTCACTGACATCTTGGCAAATGATCTTGAATGCATATGCATCAATGTCTTAGTACCCCGTCTTATGCTTTATCCATTATCTGGTGTCTGCTGTAGACCACCAAATCACACTAGGGAACAGGATGATCAGCTGTATAAGCCCTTATACATAAGTGTACGGGAAAAAAACTCCTCTTGATTATGGGGGACTTCAATCTAAGTGAGTGACATATGCTGGAGGTTTCATGCTGCCAGTACTAAAATATCTTTGGAATTACTAAATATTTTATAGATAATTTCCTAACTCAGTGTTGCAGCCAACGTGAGGGAATTTTGTAATGGGTCGTCTTTTGACAGATAAAGAGGAATTGATCACAGAACTAAAAATGCGCGGTAGTTTAGGTACAGTAACTCCTCACTTAAAGTTGTCCCGGTTAACATCGTTTCGTTATGTTACGTTGCTGATCAATTAGGGCAGTGGTCTCCAAACTGGGGTGCACGAGATGATCCCGGGGGTCCGCGGCAGCAGGATTGCTGCCAGACAGCACTCCGCCGTTTTTGTTCTTCGATAGTAGCTCTGCACATCCACGGCTGGTGTTCCCCTCCGGTGGTGCGCCTGCGGCAGGTCTTCTGGTCTTCACCCTGCGGGAGTGCGAGCCAAAAAGTTTGGAGACCACTGAATTAGGGAACATGTTGGAGACCACTGAATTAGGGAACATGTTCGTTTAAAGTATAACATTGTTTGGCAACTGCCTGCTTTGTCCGCTGCTTGCAGGAAGAGCAGCCCATTGCAGCTAGCTGGTGGGGGCTTGGAACCAGAGTGGACCAGCAGCTCCCTTAAGTTCCCTGTGCAGCAGCTGCCCAACAGGCTACCAATTGCCAGCAGTTCAGCTGTCCCTCCCCCGTCTGCCATGTGCTGCTCCTGCCCTCCGCCTTGGAGCTGCTCCTGGGCGCTCCTGCTTGCTGTGCAAGGGAGGGGGGAAGAGGGGGACTAATGTCAGGGTGTCCCCCTCCCTCCTACTCCTGCCCCCCGCTTATCCCTTCTCCATATAGAGCAGGGGGGAGACACATCAGCGTTCAGGATGGAGAAAGCTGGCCGCAGCTGCTGTCTCAACTTCCTGATGTTTTTAAAGGCAATGTACTTAGAATGTGGTGTCCGCATACTTAAAGGGGCAGTGCGCAACACACACGGTGTGTCTCTGTCTGCCATGCTGTCTCCCCTCCCTCCATTCGTGCTGCCTAACCCTTGAGGGCTCAGCTGAATGCGAGTTCATCATTTAGCAATAAGGCATTCCCTAGGAAATATCCCATCTTCTTTCACCCTCTAACTTCACCACCTCAACCAAAGCTTCACAATCATCATTGCTGTGTACAGTATTAAATTGTTTAAAACTTACTCTGTGTGTGTGTGTTTTTTTTTTTTTTTGTCTGGTGAAAAAAATTTACCTGGAACCTAACCCTCCCCATTTACATTAATTCTTATGGAGAAATTGAATTCACTTAATATTGTTTCACTTAGTCGCATTTTTCAGGAACATTAACTCCTCGCTTAACGTTGTAGTTATGTACTAATGTCATAGATCCACAGGTCCGGTGCTCTGGAACAGTATCTGGGAGGACCCCTACAGTGTGTTAACCCCGTAACCCCCTTAGCTTCACCGCCTCTTGGGACCAAACCTTGGAGCCTTCAGCACCTCTGCTTCATGCCATGAGGTCCCCCTCAGTGAGTCCACCTGAACTGGATACCTGGGCAAGACTTACACACCCAAAAAGAGCAATGCAACCCCCAACTTAATCGGGAGTGACTCAGTCAGCGGTGTAAAAACAGACTTTATTAGATTTCTAGAACAAAGCGTAGAAAGTCCTTAGGTTAGCATACAGAACAGAAAAGTTATAACCAAGTCCATCTGGGTCTGTCCAGAGCCCCAAGCTCTCTTTGCCTCAGTCCAGAAGAGACTCCTGCTTCCAGCAGCCCCACCTGACCCTCCTTAATTCTTTGTTCCGTTCCCAGGTGAGGAGGTTTTTACTTGTCTTTCTTCCTTAGCTCTTTGTTCTCCAGCTGGTTAAAACTGGCTGGCTTCCTCCACGGTCATTAGCTGTTGGGTACCAAACGTGTGGTTCATTGTCTTCTGGGACACTCCAGGGCAAGGGACCCGGGACCCAGACAGCCAGGTGCCAGTCACACCTGGATCTCTACAAAGAATAAACAACCTTTTCCCCCTACCTAGTTAACCATGCAGGATATAGGGGAAGCTAAGACAGACACACACACACAATATTCATCCAAAATATTGCGAAAAATTCCCTCTTTATCACAACAAGTGATTGTAATTTGATCACATTTGTTATATGGAAACAGAATAAAGTCTAAACCAATAATAAAAATGTGGTGCTTTAAAAGTGCCAATTTCACAAAGCTGAAAATAATTGGAGAATTTAAGCAGAAAAATGTGAATGATTGGGAATTGTTTAAGAACACTTTACTGGATGCACAAAAGGCCACAATAAGACAGAATGCCATACTGATTGTTTTTTTTAATCTGGCTTTTTTAGAGGGGAAATGAAGGCAGCTATAAATCTTTAAATACAACTGGAAGAAAGGAAAAATAGATGATAAACCAGAAGCTAGGAATTGTAAAAAACTGATAAAGGAAGCAAAAGGACACATTGAGACATCTATAGCCACCAGAGTAAGGACAAGGAAGAGATTAAGTACATTATGAATAAAATGTATTGGGCCATTACCAAATGGAAATGGTAGAATTATCAATGTAAAAAAGGCAGGAGTATTTGTAGCCTTAGTGATGGATTGGTGATTGGATAATCTTAGACCAGTGGTTCTCAAAGCCGGTCTGCCGCTTGTTCAGGGAAAGCCGCTGGCGCGCCGGACCGGTTTTTCTTATCCGTACTTCCACACCCCGTTATTTTAGGGGTGCTCCACTTCTCATGGGCTATCCCCTTAGCTCCTCTTATTTCATTAACGTCTATGTGTGACGAAGTGGGACTGTTCTTAATGTTTCCTCTGAATAGTGTGGGGGTGCCTCAGTTTCCCCTACGCAGTTCTTAAGTATCTAGGTGGTGGGGTAAGGGTGTATGATCAGTGCAGAGCCCTAGAGGGCAGGTGTGTGCAGGGGTCTGGACACAGAGAATGGCCGACACCCTGTTTCCTGGCAACTGATGGCCTGGGCCCTTCCCCCCTTCAAGGTGAGAGCTAAAGGGTTGGAGAACAAAGGAATCCGGTGACCTCCTGGCCTGGGAAAGGGACAAAACCCGGAGGAGGAGGAGGGGCTGGAGGGAGTTTCAGTTTGGGGCTGGCTGGAGATGTGGAGTGAAGGGCAGATGTGGTTGTCTGGCTCACTGCCCCCCAAAATGGACCCAGCTGAGGGGTCCGGTTCTCTGCACCTACAAGCTCTGTGTTAGACCCTGTTCCTGTCGTCTAATAAACCTCTGTTTTACTGGCTGGCTGAGAGTCCTGTCTGACTGAGGAGTTGGGGGTCAGGATCCTCTGGCTTCCCCAGGAGCCCGCCTGAGCGGACTCACTGTGGAAAGCACACGGAGGGGCAGAGGATGCTGAATGCTCCGAGGTCAGACCCAGGAAGGTGGAAGCTGTGTGAGCTGTGTGTCCTGCAGACAGGCTGCTCCCAGAGAGGAGACTTCCCCAGAGTCCTGACTGGCTTCATGGGGAGTAGTTCCAGAGCATCGCACAGGGACTCTGTGACACTATGTCAATGAGTTACCATAGCAACTTGAGGTTTTTACAGAATTCCTCAAAATGTTACTATCAGGCATTAACTGGCACTTGCAGCACATTTTGCTGTCTATTGCTACATAGTTTCTGGAACATCTGCACTTAACACATCTATTATTGTAATCTTATACTTTACTGATACATGGTTATCTTTCAGTCAGCTAGTCATGCCAACCTGTTTCAGGTCTAAAGCCTTGTGTGGCTCAGCTGAACATCTTATAGGCCTGAGGCCTGTAGGTCCTGTGTTAGAGCATTAATTCTTAGATTTCACCTCTATATCCTAAATATACTTTATTCTTGGCTACAAGCTGAATAAATATTCTGTATTTAGGGGAAAAAACAGATGTCGTGATGATGAAATACTTTGCATTCCAACAGCAAGTCCAGGATGATGGTAAATAGCAGCTACTAAAGTTAGACATTTTTAAATCAGCAGGTCTGGATAACTTGCATTCATGAATTTTAAAAGAGATGGCTGAGGAGCTCACTGGACCATTAAAGTTGTTTTTCAATAAATCTTGGAACACTGAGGACGTTCCGGTAGACTTAAAATATTGGCACAACATTAGCTTCTTTGTAGAGTACATAGGACGATCTGGGTAATAGGGGCTTGGGCTGATATGGGACGTGATTAATCAAGAATTAAAGGCAAGTAATTAATGCCAATCAGTGGAGGTTTGTGGAAGATAGATCCTATCAAACTAACTTGATATGTGTTTTGAGATTACATGTGTGGTTGATAAAAGTAATAGCGTTTGTGCAATATACTTAGAATTCCGTAAGGCATGTGACTTGGTTCCACACAACGTTTGATTAGAAAACTAGACTGATACAAAATTAGCATGGCATGCAATAAATAGATTAAAAACTGTCTGAAAGGTCTCAAAAGGTAACTGTAAATGGGGAATAATCCATGAATGGATGTGTTTCTAATGGGGTTCCTTAGGGATCCGTTCTTGGCTCTACAATATTGAACATTTTTATCAGTGATCTGGGGGGGATGACATAAAATCATCACCGATCAAGTTGGCAGATGACCCAGAAATTGGGGAGTGGAAAATAATGAAGAGTACAGGTCACTCATATAAAGTGATCTGGATCGTGTGGTAAACTGGGTGCAAGGAAACAGTGTTTTAATACAGGCAAATGTAAGGACGTGTATCTGAACAAAGAACGCAGGCTACGCTTGCAAGATTGGAATGAGACTATCTGGGAAGCAGTTTCTCTGAAAAAGACTTAAGGGTCATGATGGGTCATCAGCTGAACATGAGCTTGCAAGTGCAATTGTGGCCAAAAGGGCTAATGTGTTCCTTGGATGTATAAACAAGAAAACATCAAGTAGGAGTTAGTAGTTTAATATTAATTCTGCATTTGGCACAGGTGCAACTGCTGCTGGAATACTGTGTCCAGTTCTAGTGTCCACAATTCAAGAAGGATTCATAGATTCCCAGGCCAGAAGGGACCACTGTGATCTTGTAGTCTGACCTCTTGTATAGCACAGGCCTGAGAACTTCCCCAAAATAACTGCTAGAGCAGAGCTTTTAGGAAACATCCAATCTTGATCTAAAAATTGCAAGTGATGGAGAATCCACTATGATGCTTTGTAAATTGTTCCAGTGGTTAATGACCATTTTCACCCAAGCTGTCTTCCAACTAGTTCCTCCCTGTTTGTCAGGACCAAATCCAGAATAGCTTCTCTTAGTTGCTTTCCCCACTTTATGTAATAAAAAATTGTATCCAATGCATTCTAAGAACTTGTTGGATAATCTGTGCCCTACTCTATTATTTTCCTTTTTGTTATTTAAAAAACAAACAAAACCCTCATATACTACTTCTTCCTGGTTAGGTGGTCTATAGTAGACACCCACCCTGACATCACCCTTGTTTTTTTTACCCCTTTTATGATTTCCCTGAGGCTTTCAGCAGGTATACCTCCCACTTCTATCTCATCTTCCGTGCAAGTGTATATCTTTGATATATTGAGCCACACAACCTACCTTATTTTCCTTCCTGAACAAGCTGTTCCCTTCGAAACCAATTTTCCAGTTATGTGAATTCCACAAACCTTTTCTCCTCCATGAGCTGAATGGGTAGTTCCTGCAGAAGGAGACGGTTAGGAACATGGTAGAAGCAAAGGTCGTAGGACCACACTTGTTGCACATCTGTAATGCTTCCCAGGGATGCCTAGGGTTGTGGGGCACCTAGCTACCACCTGCCCTTCACACGATGAAACCTTGTCTGTGCCTGCCAGGCATCAGCTTCCTTAACCCCACCATCCATAGTCAACATAAGTGCTCTTTTAGCCTACACGAGCTCCACCATACCTTTTCAGGTTAGTGATAAATACAATCCAACATCATACACACATTCTAGAGCCTAAATTTAACTAACATGCCTACTTATCGAAGAAGGTGCTGCTTACCTGGCGTCCTTCTCACAGTATTTTTCAACCAGGATGGCTGAGACCATCCTTTCCTAAAACCAAGCCTGCCAGCTGCTTTTCTTCCTAGATGAAGGGTGCCTGAGCGTCTCTCTGCACCCCTGGATACATTAGACCAGTCCGTTCTTCATTTGTAAACCGGTGTGTGTGTGTATGTATGTACACTCCCTCACACCCCCCCGTTCACCTCTTCCTGTTAATTTCCTCTCTTGAAGTTCCTGCAATCTCTTCATTAGCATTTGACTTATGTCAATAGACCTTCATTGTATGACACCCAGTATACAGAGGTTTATTAGAGCCCTGGGCAAAAGAACATTTGGGCCCCCACTCCCCATTAAAAACACAAATGTATCAAAAACCATTAATACAAAGATGCCATTCAGTGTTTACACACTGCATTAATAAAGCAAATCCTATTCCAGTTCATTATGCCTAAATTAATTGCTCAGTTTTTCCACATAGAAAATGAGTCTGGCTAGATATTATCTGTACCATTACACAAAGGTATTCACTGCTGATCTGGACAACATGGCTGTTGCAAGAATCAGTCATTCACTGTTCAACAAGTGATTCTTTCATCTCCACCAATTTTCTTAAACCTGACCATTAAACGTTTTTTTCCACCCATTGATCCTGTTACAGTCCAGTTGTTCTGCTGTGGAAGCAAAGGTGTCTGAAAGACAACAGTCACAATTCCAGAAAGTAACTTAATTAAAAGAAATAATTCTTACCTGAGGTAAAATTACTCTATTATTAAGAACTTTAAGTTCTTCTTCAAGTGATTGCTTATATCGATTCCAATTAGATGTGCATGCGCCGTATGCGCAGTCTTCGGAAAGTTGTTCCTCTAGCAGCAGCCATCGCGTTGGCTGTGGAGCCCCCTGGAGTGGCGTCTTCATTGTGCTCAGTGTATGATCCTGCCGACCCGGAGCCTCCTCAGTTTCTTCTTACTGCCAGTGACAGTCGTTGCAACTGTAGTGTCTTGCTGAGCAAGTTCTACTGCATTTCCGTAGCCTCTTTGTTTTTGTCTCTGTTCTTTATACGTTTTAGTTAGTTAGTATTTGTTCTTAGCAGTTGGGCTGGGGGGTTTACCCTCTATCCCGACTGCTTTTTTCTCTGGAGGGCTTTCGTGCCCAAGTCCATCAGGGACCCCTCTCACGAGCAACTCCTTATCCAGGAGGTGCAGGCGCTCCTTGCCATGGGAGAGGTTGAGGAGGTTCCTCAGGAGCTTAGGGGTAAGGGATTCTACTCCCAATACTTCCTAATCCCCAAGGCCAACGGGGGTCTCAGACCCATTCTAGACCTGCAAGGACTCAACAAACTCATGGTAAAGTTGAAGTGCCGCTTGGTCTCCCTGGGGACCATTATCCCCTCCCTGGATCCAGGAGACTGGTATGCCGCCCTCGACATGAAGGATGCGTACTTACACGTAGGTTTCAGAGTAGCAGCCGTGTTAGTCAGTATTCGCAAAAAGAAAAGGAGTACTTGTGGCACCTTAAAGACTAACAAATTTATTTGAGCATAAGCTTTCGTGAGCTACAGCTCGCTTCATCGGATGCATTCCAATGAAGCGAGCTGTAGCTCATGAAAGCTTATGCTCAAATAAATTTGTTAGCCTCTAAGGTGCCACAAGTACTCCTTTTCTTTTTGCATACTTACACATAGCGATTCGTCTAGTACACAGCGCTTCCTACGCTTCATGGTCAACAACAAGCATTACCAATTCACTGCTCTACCATTCGGCCTCTCAGCAGCCCCCAAGTGTTCACCAAGTGCATGTCGGTCGTGGCTGCTTTCCTCTGTCGCCAGCAGGTGCAAGTATACCCCTACCTTGACGACTGGCTGCTCAGGGGCCACACCAAGGCACAGGTGCAGTTCCAAATCTGTTTGGTCAGGTGCACGTTCGAGTGGCTGGGTCTCCTCCTCTCCTTGGGGAAGTCTACCTTGTAATCGACCCAGAGAATACAGTTCATTGGGGCAGTGTTAGACTTGGTTCAGGCACGAGCCCTTCTGCTGGAGTCCCAATTCTGAGCAATCACAGACATAATTCAAAGCCCCCAGCAATTCCCAACCACAACAGCAAGGGGGTGCCCGAATCTCCTTGGCTACTTGCACTTACATGACCCTGCCCGCCAGGCTGTGGCTCAGACCGTTGCAGGCATGGCTTGCATCGGCCTACCGCCTGGGGCGCAACAGCTTGAATTCAGTAGTCACGGTGCCAGGACAGATCCTCACGTCCCTCCACTGGTGGCTCGACCCCCAAGCGGTGTGCGGAGGAGTCCCCTTCCACAATACTCAAACTTCCTTGTCCCTGGTTACAGATGCGTTGGATCTGGGATGGGCGCATCTGCAGGACCTCCAGACACAGGGCCTATGGTCACAGGATGAGCTCTCCCTACATATCAACATCAAGGAGCTGAGGGTGGTGCGCTTTGCTTGCCAGGCCTTTCAGGCCTGACTGCAAAGCCATTGTATAGCGGTTCTAATGGACAACACCACCACCATGTTTTACATCAACAAGCAAGGGGGAGCCCGTTCCTATGCCGGGAGGCCCTCCAGCTGCAGGAGTTCTGCATAGCCCACTCCATTCACCTGGAAGCATCCTTTCTACCAGGAGTTCAGAACATGCTGGCGGACCACCTCAGCAGGTCCTTCTGCATGCACGAGTGGTCCATCTAGCCAGATGTCCTACACCTCATTTTCCAAAGGTCGGAGTTTCCCCAGCACAACAGGAAGTGTTTGCCACCCAGCACAACAGGAAGTGCCCAATGTTCTGCTCCTTCCAGGGTCACGGCCCAGGCTCCCTCACGGATGCTTTCCTTCTATCCTGGAGAGGTTGCCTGCTCTACGCCTTTTTCCCCCATTCCCTCTCGTGCATGAGGTCCTCCTGCTCAAGGTCCACAAGGAGTGGGCAAACGTAATTCTGATAGCTCCAGTGTGGCCTTGACAACACTGGAACCCCACACTACTGGAGCTGTCGGAGGCACTGGTCATGTTCCCTCTCCTCCCCGACTTACTCACTCAGGACCACGGTTGCCTCCCATCACCCCAACCTATGGTCCCCCCACCTCACGGCTTGGAAGCTTCATGGGTGAACCCCATGGAACTTCCGTGCTCTGAGCACGGAAGGGAAGTCCTCCTCAGTAGCAGGAAGCCCTCTACTAGAGCCACGTATCTGGCAAAGTGGAAGAGATTCTTGTGTTTGTGTGACCAGCGTCGCATACCTCCCCTCCAGGCGTCGAGACCTCTCATCTTGGAATACCTCCTACATCTGAAACTGCAAGGCCTGGCGGCATCCTCCATAAGGGTACACCTCACTGCTATCTCGGCCTTCCACCCAGGAGCGTCTGGTTCATCTGTCTTCACCAACCCTATGGTTGGTTGCTTCCTTAAAGGTTTGGACCACCTACATCCCAAGATCCAGCAGCGTGTCCCTGTGTGGGACCTTAACCTGGTCCTTTCCAGGCTCATGGGGCCCCCATTCGAATCACTGGAAACTTCCTCCCTCCTGTACCTGTCTTGGAAGGTAGTGTTCCTGGTCGCCATTATGTCTGCGAAGAGGGTGTCTGAGCTAAAGGCCCTCGCCTCTGATTCACCTTACATGGTTTTCCACAAGGATAAGGTGCAACTCAGGTGACATCCAGCCTTTCTTCCCAAGGTGGTGTTGCACTTCCACATCAGTCAAGACATTTTCCTGCCCATCTTTTACCCTAAGCCTCATGCCAGTAACTGGGAACAGCGGCTTCATTTCCTCAATGTTTGCCGAGCACTAGCTTTCTACACTGAGCGCACTAAGCCATTCAGAAAGTCAAACCAGTTATTCATAGCAGTGGCAGACCGGAGGAAAGGACTCCTGGTCTCATCTCCAAGAATATCCTGGATCACGTCGTGCATCTGCACATGCTACGAGCTGGCCAATGTACGAGCCCTGGCTCTTACTGCGCACTCCACGAGGGCCTGGGCCTCGTCAGCGGTGTTCTTGGCCCAGGTCCCAATCCAAGAAATCAGCAGGGCAGCAACTTGGTCCGCGGTGCATACCTTCACTTCTCACTACGCCATCGTCTGGCACGCCAGAGATGATGCGACTTTCGGAAGAGTGGTGCTGCAATCAGTGTTCTCTTAACTCCGGCCCCACCGTCTAGGTAAGGCTTGGGAGTCACCTAATTGGAACGATATGAGCAATCACTCGAAGAAGGAAAAACGGTTACTCACCTCCTGTAACTGTTGTTTCTCGAGATGTGTTGCTCATATACATTCCAAACCCGCCCGCCTTCCCCTATGTTGGAGTAGCTGGCAATAAGGAACTGAGGAAGTGCTGGGTCGGCTGGGTCTTATATTGAGCTCCATGAATGCACCGCTCCAGGGGGATCCACAGCTGACCTGACGGGTGCTGCTAGGGGAAAAACTTTCCAATGACTGAGCGTGCAGCGCGTGCACACCTAATTGGAATGGATATAAGCAACACAACCATTTCAACCAATGGTGCAAACTGGTTTAAAACAAAGTTTGCAACTGATCACATAAACTATGAAAAAATTAGAGACTAACCAATTTATTTGAGCATGAGCTTTCGTGAGCTACAGCTCACTTCATCGGATGCATACTGTGGAAACGGCAGAAGACATTATATACATAGAGACCATGAAACAATACCTCC